CCGCTCTGCTGAATTCTCTCACCCTCCCGCACTTCTGACTGTACCCAGTGCATGTATAAACAAAAAACAAAACAAACAAATAAAATAAATAAATAAATGAAGCATGCCTCTATAAAAAAAAAAAAAAAAAAAGACACCCTGGTTTAATTGAACCTTCCTTAGATCCCTGGCCAGTTTTTCCCCAAAAATAGTTGGGGAGTTCTTAAACCCCTGTGGAAGCACAGCCCAGCAATACTGGAGAGTGCTCTTGGACTTAGGGTCTTGCCATTCGAAGGCAAAAAGCGGTTGGTCCTGGACATCTATTGGGATACAGAAAAAGGCATCCTTCAGGTCTAATACCGAAAACCACCCAAAGTCACCAGGTATGGCAGTTAATAGGGTGTACGGATTAGGCACGGTGGGATGTATATCCCGAACAATGTCATTAATGGCCCTTAAATCTTGGACAAAACGGTACTCGCCTGTATGGGGTTTCTTCACTGGCAGAATTGGAGTGTTATACGGTGAGCGACAGGGCCGAATGAGTCCAGATTGAAGGAACCTTTTCAATACTGGCTCAATTCCCCTCAAGGCCTTCTCCTTTAAGGGGTATTGCTTCCTCCTCGGGGTTCTGCTCCCCTCTATCACTTCTATCTTTACAGGCTCAGCATTTTTCGCACGTCCTGGGGTTCCATCAGCCCATACCCATTTACTTACTCTTTCAACAATTTCTGGAGGTAAAATTTCACCTTTCGGTGGAACATCTTGAGTAAGTAACATCTGGAACTGCAGAGCATGCTCTGGAGGCACCTGTAGGTGAAGCCTCTGATGTTTTGGTGAGAATATAATTCGTGCGGTGAGCTTACTTAAAAGATCGCGACCAAGCAGAGGGATTGGACACTCTTCCATGTATAGGAAGCTGTGCTGGAGCTGTGTGGTGCCTAGCCGGCACTCCAAAGGTTGCAGGAAGGGTGTCTGTTGTGGCCTTCCTGTAATCCCAGTGACTGCTGCAGTCTCTTTGCTCATTTTAGTTAATTTTGAATTCAAAACTGAGTATGTCGCTCCAGTGTCCACCAAGAAATCAATGAGACGATCCCCCACAGCGAGTGTTACCCGGGGCTCTGAGGGGGTTATTCTAATGGGCTTCTCTAGATCTAGTGGAGCCCCCGGGGAACCCCTATTCTGCATCTGAACTTTCTCCATGAACTATCATTTGTCTCCTCTCCTCTGCACTTGGTTCTAGATTCCTTCTACTCTGTCTGTATTCCCTCCTATCTTCACCTGAGGCTCTACTCTGTGCTGTCATTTGTCTCCTTTCCTCTGTGCTGGGCTCTCGATTCCTTCTCTGTCTGTATTCCCTGTCATCATCTGAGCCTCCACTCTGTGCTAACATCTGTCTTCTTTCCTCTCTCCTTGGTTCCTGGTTCTGTGTGCTCCTTCTATATTCCCTCCTGTAACCCCTACGTGAATCATCATGTCTTGGGGTTCTGTCTTCTATCCTGCCTTCTATAATTATTGTGTCTGCCACTTCCCTGTAACCTGGGACAACTGTACTTCCAATGTCCCTCTTCCCTACAGAAAGCACACTGATTTCTTCCTAGGGGTTCGCGTCTCTGTCCATTATTGTTTCCCTGAAACCCTGTTCTGTGTTCTCTTTGTAAGAAAACAGTCGCAGGTTTCGGTCTCCTGTCCTCTCTATTATTATAAACCCTAAATGTCAGGTCCACTACCTGGGACGGACTCATCTCTGTGACGCCGTCCACCTTAGCTAACTTTTTCTTTATGTCTGGGGCACTATGGGTAATGAAAGCCATAGTGATCAGACGAGCATTTTCTGGGGCATCTGGGTTTATATCTGTGTGGTTAGTGTAAGTTTGAATAATCCTCTCAAGGAACTCTGATGGATCCTCATTAGCTCCTTGCTCGAGTTGCAATATTTTGTTAAAGTTTTTTTGTTTGGGGATCCCCTGCTGCAGTCCTACCAATAAACATTTTTTGTACAGATCCAACATTGCCGTTCCTCCATTGTTAGGGTCCCATCCAGGATCTCTCTGGGACAACAACCTCCGGCTCTGGGGACTGCCTATCCTGTTGGTGGAGATGGTCAGCCTCCTCCCTGGCTTTCCTGAATACCATCCTCTGCTCATCCAGCGTTAATAAAGTATGCAGCATGGACTGTATATCTGCCCAGTTAGGGCGGTGGGAGACAAAGATAGAGGCAAACAAGTTCGCCATCCTCTTGGGAGCCTGCCGGTACGAGGGAACAGAGCTCCTCCAATTTAGGAGGTCCCCCGTGCTGAAAGGATGGAGCGACCAAAAGTACCCAGCAGGTCTCCCATGTTCATTTAAGCCACCCATTGGCATCTGGCGAAGAGGAAACTGTCCTGCCTCAGGTTGATCCTTCCTGCCAAAATGGGTGCTGAGTCTAGTGTGGGGAGGAGACGCCATTTTAGTGTCCTCCCCAGAGGGCAGTGGAGGCTGTGCAGTCTCAGGGGTCTGCACGGGAGGGGCCTTGTCACGTGGAAGAGGATTTTGTCCTGATGTATTTAAAGTATTTAAAATATGATGCTCCTCCTCTTCTAACTCTGCTCGCTGGCTGTCCTCATGGAAAGGGGAAGGTCTATCCTTTCTCTGCACCATTAGCCTAGCCTTCGCCTCCGCCATATCTAATTTATGGAGGGCGGCCTGTATCTGGTCCTGCATACCTTTATTTTTTTTTTATTTATTTTTTTTAATAGAGGCATGTTTTTATTTATTTATTTGTTTGTTTGTTTGTTTTGTTTATACATGCACTGGGTACAGTCAGAAGCACGGGAGGGTGAGAGAATTCACCAGAGCCAGAGCGGGGAGCTGAGCAGGCAGAAGTGGTCCTGCATACCTTTAAAAGCTGACTCAAAAGTCCGATTTTGTTGTTGCACTTGATACAGCATGCTTTGATAAGCTGACTCAAAAACGTTACGATTTTCATCCCTTATACTCTTTATTTTTTTTTATAGAGGCATGTTTTTTTATTATTATTATTTATTTATTTGTTTGTTTGTTTTTTGTTTATACATGCACTGGGTACAGTCAGAAGTGCGGGAGGGTGAGAGAATTCACCAGAGCCAGAGCGGGGAGCAGAGCAGGCAGAAGGACTGAAGCACACTGCTGAGGGGAGCAGCGGGCGGCAGGGGAGGTCTGTGTGCCATGTGGGACCCTCCTCTGGTGGCCGGGGAGCAGCCGGGGATCGAACCGGCGCCGCAGAGGCCGCGGGCAGCTTCGCAACCCAGCGCTCAACCGCTGCGCCACCAGGGAGGCCCCATCCCTTATACTCTTAATAGTTAAATCAAAAGCCTGAATTTGTTGTTGCATGGCTGTTAAGAGCCTGAATGTGTTGTTGCACATTCTCAGTATGTGAAGTATAACTTCTACCTCTCACAGAAACAAGAATGTAGCAAATTGCGCTTACACATATTACCAAAAAACCACCCAGAAGCACAGTCTGTAAAGGGATGGCTTGTAAACCACCCATGTATGTACACAATAGTAAAATCACGTGCCATACACCGGGCTTCATCAAATTATTTATATTAATGAAACTGGTGGTGATATTTAATGGAAGAAGGCTACTCAAATTCAAGGCCGGAAGGAAACTGAAATAACTCAGGCTAGGGATGAAACTGTATAGGATCATGGTTGAGGCCATATTTGAGTCAAAACGCACCCACAAGGGCTGTACGCACAGGGGAAAAACAGACTTTTCAGGACTAGAGACAAATATTATACTGCTAGTCCTGCGGAACTAGTGCGCTTATGGTGACCAACGCAAGGAATGTTACTTTGGGCTGGTCAACCGCGGGTGTAACTTGGAAACCACGCTGGGCGCCAAACTTTTGTAGAGCAACCCTGATACAAAACGGGGTGCCTGACTGTGGGTCCTCACCCGCGCGCTTAAAAGGACTTATCAATGCTCTACTGCAGGCACACGTGAAAGATTAATAAAAGGTTTATTTACAAGGGAAGGGGAAATGAGGAAATGTACAGCTCTGGGAGAAAAGTGGGAGACAAAGTTTTAAATGAGTCCTACCTGATCCACCCATCAGGAATCCCAAAATGGCGCTCTCAGAGTTGGCCGCCAGCCAGGAGCGGTGAAGCCAGGAGGCGAGCGATCGCGTGCCAGAGAGAGAGCCCAAGGCCCACGTGTTTGGTTTTTTATATCCAACCTGGCTGCCCAACTCCACCCTCAGGTCCCAGCCACCCTCCCTTGGTGGTGATGGGATTTGTCTTTCCCAGAGTCTTGATGGCTTTAGTCTGGAGTGGGGGTGGGGTCCACAAAGCCTGTATGGGATTATCTCAGGACATCATTTCCCCCTAACAATTCTACTGTTTCTTCCTCCGGGCTACATTATCTATCACTTCATCTTTTTAAAAAAGATTTATTTATTTATGCATACAAGAGCTGGGATATAGATCAGCGGTATGGGGGGCGTTGTTTGAGAGGATTCAGCAGAGTCAGAATGGGGAGCAGAACAGATAGATCTATTGAAATATGCTGCTGAGGGGAGCAGTGGGATAGACAGGAGAGGTCTGCTACACCATGTGGGTTACCTCCCTGGCCGGGGATCCAACTTGTGCTGCAGTGGCTTCAGATAGTTTCATAGGTTGTGCCTTAAACCCCTTGCTCCACCAGCGAGGCCCATCATTTCATCTTTTGAAGAACACTCAACATAGCTTTTTTGTTTGTTTACATCTATCTGCCTTTCCCAATAGACATACTCTTTTATTGCAAATATTTTTCTATTTGCTCTATTGTTATTGCTCAGAATAGTTGTGCTGATAATACATTTGAAAAGTACTTTGTAAAACTATAATAGCTAAGGGATTACACCAATGCTATATGGACCTAAAGGAGAAATGGGAGGTTATCGTTCCTTTTACCAGTTCAAAGTCGGGACATGTTTTTGACCTGTTGCAACCATTATACAAATGATAACCAGCTTGCAATAATAGTTTTAAAAAAGAATGAGTAGCCCTCAAGTCACCAAGCAAGTAAATATCACACATAAGGAGAAACCACAAGATATGTTTCAGTTAAAAGAGTATCTATAGAAAGTTTTACTTTTTACTGTAATTTTTAATACAAGACATCTAAAGTCTTAGAGAAACAGCAGGTTGATCCCATTAGGAACAAAATATGGCACGGATTCCAGAAACAACAACATAGCTTTTTTTTTTTTTTTTTTTTTTTTTGCATTTAGGCTTTTCAGTCACTCTGCAGTGATTATCGATACGCCAAGGACAGTAACAGATACTGGAGAAAAGGAGATATGAGAAACATCTTTTATTTTTTCTAAAGAAGTGAAAATAAGTAAGATTTCTTATATTTTTCACTCATAAGATTTTTTAAACTCTTAAAAATGCAATTTCCTCTTTTCAAAGCACATGCCATCTTAAAAAAAAAAAAAACTCTTAGCAATGTACATTTGCACTCAAAGAAAAACATGCAGTGCCATTGTCTTCTGACAAAATTCTGCATAAAAAACCCCACGCGACTTTCTGCAAATATGTTCCCTCTTTATCATTTAGGGACTCCAAGCCACAAACATTCAGTGCAATATTTATTGTGTTTTATTTCCGTAGGAAACACAGGACCAATGATGTCTTCTGACTATAACTGTTTCCCGATGGTTGAGTAACAGTCTTCCTCTGCTTTATTTAAAAGTACTCTCTTAATTTGCTGATGTAAGGTACAACTAGAATTCAGTAAAACTTGAAAATTCAAAACTGGAGGATGAAGGAGAAATACTTAAGGTGTACCCTGTGCCATAAACTTAGGAAAAAATTTACACAGAAAAAAACAAACAAACAAAAAAATCCCCTAGCCCCACCCAAGATTTTATCAATGCACCCTTTAAAAAAGTGTTTTTTCTTCTTCAAATTTCTGAAAGCAGCTTAATGTGAATCAAAAGCAGTTCCTGAGTAACTGCAGTAAACAGTGTCTTTTTAAAATATATATATTTGCAACTTAGCTCATTTTGGTTCTGCCTTAATATACCTCCCCAGCTTTTAATTTAATCACAGTTCCTTTCAGTTCACAATGTGCAAGTACAATAGCATCAGCTCCGAGAGTCCGCGTGGTGCAGATGTTTGTCACTTCTAAGTGATCCATCTGCAGGTCTGTCAGGCCAGGTTTTCAGGGTCATTGTGGGCCACAGTTCTCTCAATCTCACAAAACCTGTGAGAGCTACCGACCCTTCACGTTTTCTTCATCAGACGCCGTGACTGCCACATGTGTAGCTTGTTGTAGGCTGTCTGGAGCATCTCTTCTATGTGACTTACCAGCTGAAAAACACAGGACGACACTTAATAACTGGGCAAAGTCTGGGGAAGTTAATGCTGCTCACCCTGACACATCTTCAGAGTACAGTTTCCAAGATTATTTGTGTGTCCCAAGTAAATGAGGCAACTCTATGCAGATAGTATTAACAAACACATTTTGCATAAAAATGTAAGAAAGATGTTGGATACAGTAGAGGCTAGAAAATTTACCTGCTCTGGGTTGTAATGTTTGCCCTGTCATTAACCAGGAAAATAGGAAAATCCTAACTTTACTCAAGGACTCAATTTCTTCTGTCAAGTGAGGGAGGTGAACCAAACTGGTGATTTCAAGATTTGAACATTAATCTGTTGACTAAAGCCAGGATGGTGGCACATTACGTTATACAACATTTGAAAAATCTCTTACCCCCCAAAGATTCTGATGAGACCCAGGAATCTTCTATTTTCAAAAATTCCTGAAGTTAATTCTACACAGCCAATCTTGCACATCATTTTCGTATTTCTCTAGGGTCTTTTCCAGCTCCAACATTTGAGGATTTCAATATTACTCAGATTAGAGAACATCTAAATGATTTCAAAGTTTCACACAAGTACTGTGTTATACCTTAGGTTAGGACAAAGTATCTTGAGTAGAAACTAAGTTTGTCTTCATCATGGATATAATTAGAAGTCAACAGGACCACACTGATCTACACTGACAGACTCCTGAGGCAGAATGTCTTTGGAATATATTTCTTTGGAGGAGGACATTTATATGGTTGGAAGCAAAAGTCTTGTAAAGTCTACAAGTTACTTCTGACAGTATGGGGATGGAGATCAAGAAGTCATAAATCCTTTTAGCATTCCAGTGTCTTAGATTCAATCAGAAGTATAAACAAAATAAAACTCTTATCACATCTGCTATCACTACCTGTGTGTGTGTATGTATGTTAGGAGTATAATCTTAACCAGGTTATTAGGTCTGTCTGGAAACTTACAAAAATCATTTATTCTGCTTGATGGGCAGCAGTGGTTTGAAATTACCAATTAGAAGATATGAATACTACAACCTCCTTTAAGGCTGCACAAGACTTTAGATCCTTTTCATCACAGTGCTCTGGAAGTTACATTCCAGAAGGTACATGAGTTGAAACCTATTGTCATCCTTGCCCTGCCATGGGAAGGCACTTACAAATTTCTTTTTTGATAAAAGTAAAACCGTTGTATTTTGAGAAAAGTTGTTTAGAATGTTCAGGGAATAAATGCTTACTAAAACTCTCACTGATGAAGATTCTTCAGCTATCAGTTGTGAAGTAACTCTCTGATCATCCTCCTTATAGAAATATTGAATCTAAAGTATGTATATAATAATCTTTCCCAGTCATTTCAGAACGCACTTACATACACACAAAATGATCTTGTGCGGTTGCTCTAGCCAAGCATTAAAAACAAAGCTAAAAATCCTGGGTACAAAGTAACACTTCTCACTCACCAGCTTACCTGCTGCCCTGCACTGCCCTGCTATAAACAACCAGAGAAGGTGAAGGCAGATTATAATCTAGGAACTGCTTGGTTTACTGTCACATATACTGGCAATTTTGTCATTCTCTGCATTGCTTGGTTTGTGCTTGCTACTCAGGTTTACAAACTAAGTATTATTTTAGGAACATATACATAGTTTGTAAATCTATGAAGAAAAGCACCTTTTGATGATCATTTCAAATGCCTGGTTAGTCATGGACTAGGGACAGTGAGAGATTAAGAGCAGGCCAATGAACAGGGGCATTTAGGGGATACCTATGAATACTGGTAATGTTCTTGGTAGTATTTCTTACCATGACTGGTGGACATACAGTCCATAGCTTTTTATTTTAAAAAGCACATATATTTTACATACTCCTGCGAATGAAAAACCGGTACTTCCAGCAACAACAAAAGTTAAATCTATATACTCATCACCAAAAACAAGGTTAACTTCATCATCATAGTACATAGAAAACAATAGTTGGGCAAAAATCAAATTGCTATCTTACATTTGTGCTTAAATACTGTCTTCGAATTTTTTCTTGGAATGGGGAGAGCTTTGTAACTTGGAACCGTTCCAAATTACTTTTCATTTTCACTACCTGAAAAAGATGAAAGAAATAATGAATTATAGAGGACTTAGAAAGGCCCTACAGGGAAGAGAAAAATATACACAAGAAAGTTTGTGTGTGAGTACACATATTCAGATTAAATGGCTATACCAGGCAGAGAAAAAATAGCTAGTCCCAAAATAATATATGATTTCTGCAGAAACAATTTTAAATGTAAAAGTAAGAAAATAAATGTATTTCTTGAATATTCCACCACATATATATCATTAAAACTTTGGTTCATAATTCATATTCTTGGTATTTTTCTGTGCATGTGTATAAATAGATACAAAAAAAGACAGTAACACTAAAAATTTTCAAAGCCCAAAAATAAATCTACATATATATTGATACTTAATTCCACGGTAAAGAAGCCATGAGCAGGGTAACAGGCATGTCTTTAACAAACATGCTAGGAAAATTCGACAGTTCCATGTAAAAGAATGGTGTTGGATCACATTCTGATCCCATGCACCAAAATAATTTTGAAATGAATTAAAGATTTAGATATAAGACCTGCAGCAATAAAAATATATAGAAGAAAACACTGGCGATCCATTTAATTACAGTAATGATAAAGATGTTTTTGGAGCCTTGACCCTTATGCAAGGGATATACAGGCAAAAATAAATAATAGGGGTTATCTCAAAAGCTTTTACATAGCAGCAGAAAATATAGATTAAAAAGACATTCTACCATGAGGAAATATTCACACATTACAAGACCAAAAAAGAAGGTTAATACTAAGATATATATATATAAGTAAAAAAAAAAAGCCTAATTTAACAATTCAAAAGCAAATAACCCAACTACCCAAAGAGGATACCTAGAGACCAATAGACATAAGGAAAAAAATGTTTATCATTTTTAATGATGGAGATGCAGGTCAATACCACAGAGATATCTCACATCTGTGAGAACGGCACATAAAATGATCTCCCTACATGTGCTGGAGAGGGTACAGAGAAAGAGGAATCCTATTATACTGTTGGTGGGAATGAAAACTGGTGCAGCCATTTTAGTCATTTTGAAAAGTAATTTGAATATACCTTAAATAACTAAAAATGGAAATACTGTATGACCTGACATACAGTATGTCAATCTCATTCTTGGGCATTTATCCAAAAACATGAAACCATCGACTCAAGGAATTATATGCTCTACAATGTTTATTGTAGTTAGGACATGAAAACAACCTAAGTGTATACTGATAAGCAACTGGAGTAAGATGTGATATATTCACATGATGGAATATTACTCATCCATAAGGAAACGATAAAACGATGCCTTTACAGCAAAACAGAAACAGTACAAGGGAATTAAGCACAGTAAAGAATGACAAAGACGAATATTGGATGTTTACACAATGGGCAGTAAGACAAAGCAAAATAATTATACAACAAAACCATTCAAAATTTTTTTCCTAGGGAAAATGTCAGACAAAAAAAGTAAAAGTATACACTGACAAGTAAAACACCAGTGAGGAAAGTAAAAATTTTTTGTTTAAAGGGAAAAACCATGTATCTTCCAAAGGTGAAAACTCTTTTGGATAGATTATGTATGTGCATGTGATTCTATTTACATAACATTCTAGAAAACGCAAACTAATTTATAGAGACATAGTATATTAGTGGTTGCTTGGGTCAAAGGTACAGAGACTACTCTCAGAAAAGGAACATTTGGGAACTTTTCAGGTAGCAAAATGAGTGAGCTGGATTGTCAAGTAATTACTAAAAATTTCATAGGATTAGATTACATGAAAGAAGTAAACATCACTTATAATGCAAACCAGAATCTCATTAAGTTCTGTACTAGTCAAACCACATCTGAAACATTATGTTCGATTATGATTGGCAGATTATAAGCAGGTTACCTATGAAGGGCACCAAAAAGAAAAAAAAAAAGATAATGTATTTGAATACTAGTGAGTATGAAAATTTCCTCTTGGATTTACTGGGCTCCTGCATTCTTTAGTGAGCTGACTGTTAAAGAAGTTTTTCACATTATCTTTAAATACGAGATTTACCTTTTCTTTTAAAAATTGATTGTAAGAGTAAAATTATTAGCATTAAAAACATCTTTCCATTGTTAACTGTCTTTTAATTGGTTAAAATGGTTTTGGAGTTGCTAAGAAGCTAAATCTGCTGTCCTTTCAATCTGGATTTCACTAGACCTATAATATATACCAAATAAATAATAGTTATCCCAATGTCTGGCACATGGTAAACACTCAATACAATTCTCTGAGGTGTTTTAAAAAAAACACCTCACTAAGTCACACCATGACAACAGTTGGCTGTGTTTGGAATTGGTCCCAACCTTTTCTTCTAGGAATGGTGTATTAACAGGAAAGCAGGACCAGAAGTGCCGTAAAAGTTCCCCAACTGCCACATAGAGGTGTTTCAATTCAGACTGAATATCATTTGGCACCATCTCTGTAAAAAAAAAAGAGGTTGAGAGGATAAAAGTTATTTTCACATATATATAGTCTCTGAAAGAATGACTATTCATGAGAATAAACTTGAACACATGTTTTTTGCCATTGCCAAAATAAGATGTGTAATTCTGACACAAATGACTGACTTTGTGACCGAGAGATCACAGAATTAAAATTCCCTTGGAATTTTGAATGAACTTTTCAGGTTTTCCTTTATTCTAGAAGTAGAGGAGAAATGAAGGAAGCTTTTAGTGTGATACAAGGAGACAAGCAATGCCGACTGCTCATAATAATAACGGGTGTCTAAGGCCTTCACTAGCCATATTTCAGGATCTGGATGCAGAAAACAAAATCCCAGAAATGTTACTTACAGAGAAAAACCTCTCTACTTGTTCTTTAGAGCTTATTTAAAAAAAGGGAGAGCAACAGAAGGTGGCCCAGACATACGGTTTATGGCTTGCTGTGTTCCTCCCTGCATAAGTGCTCCTCCAGGTGACAGTGCTGTGATGGTACTACTGGCAGCACTACTTGAAAGAACCTGAAACAAATCGGGACAAATGTCTGTAAGTCTTTGCTCCTGTATAAATGCATAAAGCAACCAAGTGAACTCTTTACATGATGTACAAAAGAATACCTACCAAACTTTCAGGAATACCAGGTAAGTCCATCAGTACCTCAAAACTGACACATTTTTGCCTAGTGAAGCCCTTTGAGTACCAATGCCACTTGTGAACTCTTACCACTGAAGATAAAACTGAATTTAAGGCAAGAAAGTCAAATGAAACAACACATTAACATGTATTCTCAATAGCTGCTGGGGAAAAAAACTGTAGGACAGCAAAAATAGATCATCTGTAAGTTTTCTTCTTTTTTAAAAAAATTATTTATTTATTTATGCACAGAAGAACTGGGGTGCAGGCCAGAGGTACAGGGGGTGAGAGGATTCACCAGAGACAGAGTGGTGAGCAGAGCAGGCGAATCTACTGAAATAAACTGAGGGAAGCAGCAGGTGGGACAGGAGAGGTCTGCTGTGCCATGTGGGTCAGTTCCATGGCTGGGGATTGAACTCATGCTGCAGTGGCTTGCAATAGCTTCATAGCACTGAGATTTAACCCCTGCACCACCAGGGAGGCCCCCGTAATTTTTCAAGGAAGCAAATACCTTACCAGAAAGGGGAAAACTGTGTTTCAACATTGAGGGATATAACCAACCTATTTATTCAGTAAGTTTCTAACAAAAGCCAGGCACTGTGGCTATAGGAAAGAATAAATCTTGTTGAATAGCCCAAGTGTAGTACCTAAAAATTTTCAATGGATTTTTTAGAAATAGAAATCGATGTACATGTGGGTTAGATGAAAATAATTTTTTTTAACTTGGTCTAAGTGCATGGTAATTCTGAGTTATAGGAATTATTAATTCTGGGATATAGGAAATATTCCTATTGTCAGAAATTTTATAATGCATTCGAACCAAAACTTCAGTGATTATTGAGCTTGCTGACTAGTTACTGGCTGCACTCAGGTATACACACCTAAAGACAGATAATCTTCAGCGACTGATTCAATTCACACGTCACGGATAATGAAATCACTTTTTTTGGGGGTGTAGGGTAGGATGAGGGGGAAGTGGATGTGGTAAAGAATCGAAATATTTAAGACAGACTACAACTTTAAAAACTTATGTGGGGGGCCTCCCCGGTGGCGCAGTGGTTGAGCACTGGACTGTGAAGCTGCCCGCAGCTTCTGCAGTGCCAGTTCGATCCCTGGCCGCCGGCGAGGTTCCCACATGGCGCGCAGACCTCTCCTGCCACGCCCGCTACTCCCCTCAGCAGTGTACTTCATCACTCTGCCTCTTCTGCTGCCCGCTCTGGCTCTGGTGAATTCTCTTACCCTCCCACACTCCTGACTGTACCCAGTGCTTGTATAAATAAATCTTTAAAAAAAAAAAACTTATGTGGGTCTACCTAGGCCCAAGGGCCAGATGTTGGACTATTACAGTTTAAAATAAAAGTAGTTAGATAATCACAATTTTGTTATGTGAGCATATATGGACAGACGTATTTTTCCAAACTCTGTTCAATGAGGGGATAATGACATTAGTGGCTACTGATATCCCAACAGCAATGAATATACCTCAGTACTAAAAGGAAGACTTCGTGACCAGGACATTGGTGCAATGTCCCTTATATGGTACACTGGATAAAAGGGGAAATTTGTGTAAGACCTATACACCTATAGATAACACTTTATCAATGAAAATATGCACTGAAATATTTAAAGATAAAGGAATCTATACTTAAAAATGGGCCTTTCCCCCCTTACTTTCTGTAAATCTGAGATTACTTCAAAATGAAAAAATAACAGAGGAAATGAAAAAACTAACTTGTTTCTGGGCAAGCTGAGAACTTTTTTTCAGAGGCAAGTCTGAGCTGAGCTGAGCACTGAATTATTATTAGTAATTCCTTAGAGGCAGTAACAGGCTATGGGCATTCTGAAAGCATGAACAAAAGCACAGGAAGCATGAAGATGTGATTTTGAAAACTCTGGGTAGCTTAATGTTTGTGTTAGGCTATAATATATAAGTCTTGGTTACACGCGTGGAAGGGGAGAATGGAGATACAGCTGAAGCTGGGACTGGAGATGTGAGTTAGGGCGGGCCAGACAAAGGCATTCTGACAATTGCTATGGCAATGAAGGGAGTGGAGGTTCTTTGTTTTGTTTTACATTTTTTTTTTTTAATTTTTTTTTTTAATAGAGGCATGTTTTTTTTTATTTTTATTTGTTTGTTTTGTTTATACATGCACTGGGTACAGTCAGAAGTGTGGGAGGGTGAGAGAATTCACCAGAGCCAGAGCGGGGAGCAGAGCAGGCAGAAGGACTGAAGTACACTGCTGAGGGGAGTAGCGGGTGGCAGGAGAGGTCTGCGCGCCATGTGGGACCCTCCTCTGGTGGCCGGGGAGCAGCCGGGGATCGAACCGGCGCTGCAAGGCTGCGGGCAGCTTCGCAACCCAGTGCTCAACCGCTGCGCCACCGGGGAGGCCCTTGTTTTACATTTTGAAAGGACAGGTTTATTAGGAAAAGGAGAAAAACAGAGGCACCTAGAGAGTCACAGGTAGCAGAGCTGCTGCTCTTGTTTTGCAAAGGGAAAAAAGGGAGTGAAGGTTTTTAAGCTGTAGCGTGATATCATGGAATTTATGTTATCAAAAAGGTAACAGTGTAGAAAAGTGATCATGTCTGCTTGAACCAAGGTGAAAGAGTGAAGAAACTCCCTGAATAGATGGAATTTGTTGATTAAGTGAAGTATGAATAAGGTTGGGAAAAAAAATTAAGAAGAGATGAGTTTTGATTTATATATTGAGTCATGTGAATATCTAAGAGAATGATGTCTAGAAGTTTTACTAAAATCCAGTAAAACTGTGTGTGTGTGTGTGTATATATATATATGAGTTAGCAACTACAAAGCTCATCTTATTTTTTGTTATCATCTTCAGATGTTTCTTGAGTATGTTAAATACCTTTTCCTCTCTACCTCTTCACACTTAGAATTTATTTAGCCAAAATGTCTTTTCCAATTAAAATAACAGATGCATAATTCAATTTGGTTGGGTTCATAAAGTGAAGAAGGGGAATTATGGCAATTCTGGCATTCAGTCACTTACCTGAGTTAATTTGGGTGTATAAGCTTCCATTTCTTGTCTAATACTTTGAAAAGAATTAATAATGTCCTGACTTGTTGCATACTGTAATGACTGGATTGGAGTTGGACCATGATAATACCTAAAGTTTAGCAAAGAAAGAAATTATTGATGAAATAAAATTGCTCACCATTTGTCTTTCAAATATTTTAGCAGTCCCAACACACAACATTCTTCCAAAAGCAAAAAATAAGTTTAATGAGATTTCTATAAAGTAATTTAATTTGTAGGAGGACCGTAACAGAAAACAATACAGAAATCCAAAATTAATTTTCTTCACTTTGATCATTTAGGATCTTTTCCTTAAAAGCACAAAACAAATTATTAGAGAAAAAGGGTACTATACTTTTATAATAACAAATTAAAACTTACAGAATTTGGGTGCTATAATGCAGAACAAAGTCTGCAATAACTTGTGTTATATGACTATTCTGTTCCAAATTAATTTGATACTAAACAACTTACCTATCTGACTTCTTGAGGTTTAGTGCAATTGTTTTCATGGAATTATTTTTCCCCAAATCCTCATATTCAATAGACTCTTGTAACTTCGCCTATAATTAACAACATGACACTTTATATTATTATATTCCCTTATAAATGTAAAGGACATGACTGAAAAAAGTAAAACTATATTAGATGGCAAGCTATGAAGTCTTCCCACCATGAGCTTTTCTTTCTAGAGGTGATTTCTACAAAAGGCTGAACCCATTTACTCACCAACCACTTATAGAGAGTATTTGTTTCTTTATACCCTAACCATACTATTGAACTTATAATTGTTGACAATCTGTTAGTTTGTGAAAATCTATATTTTACTATTTTTCTACCAAATAAACAAAAGACTAAATATTACCATATACATCTCAAATACTAAATAAATTAAGAATTTTCTTCGAGTTTGGGGGTTTTTAATTTTAATTATTCCCTTTTTGCTTATTCTTTTGTGTATCAATCTTTTGTTTAAGTCTTCGAGCCATGGGGATTTACTTTAGAATTCACTAAATTACTATCAGTCCTAATACCATTTGTGGAATAATCTGTCTTTCCCCACTGATTCTGAGATGTTATGTTTATTGTATTTATACTTAATATCTCTGTGTATAGGTATACTTATAGACTTTTATTTTGGTTTTATTTATGTTTTCTTCATGCTAGTAATGAATTAGTAATGACACGTAATACACACAAAGACAAGCTATGTAAACATTTTGAAACTAGTTCTTTTATGGAATACAGGCCAGAGATGCAGGGGGTGAGAGGATCCACCAGAGACAGAGGGGGGAACAGAACAGGCAGACTGACCAAAATACACTGCTGAGGGGAGCAGCAGGAGTGACAGGAGAAGTCGGCCTCGCCACGTGGGTTTCTTCCTGGCCGGCCCGGGGATCAAACTCATGCTGCAGAGGCTGCGGACTGCTTCCTAGTGCAGTGCTTAACCCCTTGTGTCACCAGGGAGGCCCTTGAAACTAATTCTATAATGTTTTTAATATTTTGCCTGCTACACAGCTATGAAATTCAGGTCAACTCTTATCTCTAGCTACCAAGACTAGGATCAAAACATACAGGTTACTAAATATATCTTAAGAAGTCAATTTGAGAACTTAGTATTTTAAATTGTCTCTATTTTAAGTCCAAATGCAAATAGTCCTCCTGTTAGTACAGAAACTAATCTGCTCTCCCTATCAGAATACAGTTATCACCTTACCTAGATTCAGTCTGATTTTTTTTAGTATTTACACTCTTCAGCCAACTTCACGATGTACTGAGTTCTTTATTACTTTTCACATGTTAAGCTCATTTCTGCCCCTACTGTTGCCTTACATAAATCATGTCTTTACCCAACCTCCATAAAAATCAAAATCTTAACTTCTGCCAATGCCTGGTTAAGTCACCTGGCTTTCATACTTAACTGAAAGCTCCATAAATGTTAAGGACTCTTGCCTGCTACTTCTGAATCACCTGTTCTATAAAACCCTTTGGAGAATACACAGCAGACTATTACTGATTTGAGAGAATATCTTGAGTCAGCATCTATTAGTGAATATTGTGAAAATCCACATAATGACTTTTGAAACTCTTTTACTACTACCAGGAGTACTTAGTGTAACAGTATTGTAAAAAAAAGCTCACTTCCCAGATTTCTTTTTTTTTTTAAGATTTATTTTTTATTTATACAATAGCTGGGGTACAGGCCAGAGGCACGGGAGGGTGTGAAGATTCACCAGAGACAGAGTGGGGAGCAGAACAGGCAGACAGACCAAAAGCATTGCCGTGGGGAGCAGTGGGCACGACAGGAGAGGTCTGCTGCACCATGTGGGAATCTCCCTGGCCAGCCAGGAATCGAACCTGTGCTGCAGAGGCTGCAGACAGCGTCACAGCGCTGAGCTCAACCCACTGGGCCACCGGGGAGGCCCACTTTCCAGATTTCTTATTTAGCCTTTGTCTACAACTTACAGTTTAGTTTCACTTCAGCGAAAAAAACTTATTAACTGTTAATTTTAAAGGTGTACATGCATATAGAAACATGCATGTAAGTTACTAGAATACATATAGCATAGACTCACCCCAATCTCTAAATAAATATAACCAACCACTTAGTATATTCTTTTAAAAGTCTTTTTAAAGTCCATAATTTTTTTTCATGTGTTAAACTATACTATACAATTATACAATCCATTCTGTGAACTATTTTTTTGTTTGTTTTTTACCAGCACTCTAGTATTTCAATGACAAGGAAATTTATCCAGCTTCCTATATAGTGGAAGGTAATGGCCAAAAAAAATGACAGATCATTCTATACAAATAAGAGTGTATTTAGTATATTTGAAATGAGAACCCTCTTTAATTCAATATATTACGAATGTATTTAAAGAGATTAGTGGGTGCATAGACTCTTGTAACTTCGCCTATAATTAACAACATGACACTTTATATCATTATATTCCCTTATAAATGTAAAGGACATGACTGTAAAGAACATGACACTTTGAAGGAGAAAAACCTTAAAAAATTTAATGCATTTGCCTGATTGCCCTCTAAGAAAGTTCATCATAATTAATTTTTATAATTGGGGAGGGAGGAAGTTAAAAAAATTTAAGGATAGAGTAGTTTGGCAAAGTCGCAGGACAAGGACTATGCAAGCTGATTACTATATTCCCCCATACTCCCAAGTGAGTTCTTCAATATTTAATGATAAGACATATCTAGCTCGGAAAATATAAGGCTTAATATGAGGGCCAAATTCTATCTTTTAAAAATCATATACACAAACCTTTAGTTTTTCTTTCTGCCATATTGCCTTTGTTGAATGAATACTGTTACAAAAACCAAAACTATGTGTCAATATGTGTGTGTGTATACATGAAAGGAAAAAAAATAAAATAAAAATAGTAAACAGACTTGAGTCCACAGAAAGCTGGCTAACAGGCCAAACCTGAGAACATACTCTCTAAAATGGTCTACAATTTAAGACAAATGCCAAAAGTCTTTCAGAAGAACTCAATCATTTGAAATAATTAAGGGGCAATATAGACTACTAGCAGGTATATAAGAAATCTATAGACACTTGAGACTTAAAAAACGTTATACTTTTTACCCATACCCGTTTGACTGCTGGCTGAAAGCAGTCTGCATCTCCACAGTTTCCATCCATGCTGCTGGGCTCACCATTTTGTTCGGTTTGTGCTTCTCTTAAAACAAAGGGAAAAAACTTAAATGTTAAAACCACAAGCAGAACAAGAACTCCACCTGGCCTCTTGGAAAGCCTAGTTACCGCACCCCTCCATGTATACTCAACTGCTTCCTGAGACCGGCTGCCAGGACCATGGCACTGTGATGGTTAAACCTCTTGATGATGGCAGCGTTACTATTCTCCTTTATGGATTTAGAATTAGAAGTAGATGGCATAGAGGAAATGCCATAGCCCTATGAAAAATAATTCAATAGATTAAAAATCAAAATAAAGTTCTAGTTTTCTTATCTATTTTGAGAGACACAGATATAGCTGAAAATATTTACAGGTTAACACTTAAAAATGACATCTAAAAAAACTAAGAAATATCATTTAACCCTTTCAGCATGACAAAAACCTTTAATCTTAAACTGCATTTTTTTTTCCAGAGCAATTTTGGATCTAGTTAGCAAAGTATAAATAAAGAAATACTGTGGGAAAAAACATGGACTTTGTGATCAAATAGATGTAAGTTCTGGCTTTATCATCTTTCCTCGTATTAGTCTAGGCAAGTTAGTAAACCTTTCCAAACTGTATAAAATGAATATTTTTAGAATGAAATAAGTTAATATTTTCAAACATTTTCTGAGTACTTGTTATGTGCCAGGTCTTATGGACAGAAAGTTGATAAGACCCTGTGCCCATAAGGAGCCTAAATAACAGTAATGGGATGCTGGATTGCGAGCCAGCACACGCAGCTAAGATAAACAAATGCTACAAGAGAGAAAGTGGTCACCCCTAATACAGGACAGTTGGGATAGGGTTGAAAAAGTTTCATGGAGCACCATTAAGATAAATAGGTGCTTGCAAGACAGACATGGAGATAACATTTCAGGGAGAGGACACTAAACAGAAGTGTAGGAGCAATGCAATATATATTGTACCATGGGTTTGTCTTTTTTTTTTTTAAAGGAATTCATTTTATCTATTTATTTTATTGTTTTGCATAAAAGAAATGGGGTGTATGCTAGAGATGCAGGGGGTGAGAGGATTCACCAGAGACAGAGTGGGGAGCACAACAGGCAGGTCTACTAAAATACACTGTTGAGGGGAGCAGCAGATGGGACAGGAGAAGTCTGCTGTGCCATGTGGGTTAGCTCCCTGGCCTGGGATTAAACTCAAGCCATAATGGTGACAGCACTGAGACTTAACCCCTAGACCACCAGGAAAACGCTGTACCATGGGTTTGATTGTAGTGTAGTATACCTGAAGGTTGAGTAAGGGACTAGTGAAACTAAGGTTAAAGTAGTAAAAGGAAAATCATAAAGATTTTTGTCATTCATTCATTTATGAATGATACAATCACTGAGTGTCTAATGTATACCATGTGCTGGGAATAGGCCAGTGAACAAGAGCAATCAGTTACATGGAACTTATACTCTACTGAGAGGAGACTGACAACCAACAAAGACAAAAACAAGATCACTTTTAAAGTGATCAATTTACAAAATAAAAAGGGTGACATAATGTAGTGACAGAATTGGGCAGTGGAGTCACTTTATATAGGGGAGGCTAGAGAAGGTTTCTATGAAGAAATGAAATTAGAGCATGTCTGTCTAATTAAAAGCTAATTAGGTAGGGCCTCCCCAGTGGCGCAGCGGTTGAGCGCTGGGTTGCGAAGCTGCCCGCGGCCTCTGCGGCGCCAGTTCGACCCCCGGCTGCTCCCCGGCCACCAGAGGAGGGTTCCACATGGCGCGCAGACCTCTCCTGCCGCCCGCTGCTCCCCTCAGCAGTGTACTTCGGTCCTTCTGCCTGTTCTGCTCCCTGCTCTGGCTCTGGTGAATTCTCTTACCCTCCCGCGCTTCTGACTGTACCCAGTGCATGTATAAACAAAACAAACAAATAAAATAAATAAAACATGTCTCTATTAAAAAAAAAAACTATTTAAAAAAAAGCTAATTAGGTAGAAGAGAAGAGCAAGTAGAAAGTCTTGAAGTAGAAAAAGCTTGGGATGGAAATGAAAGGTCACAAATAACTGGAGGAGCACAAACAACTGGAAGTGGCTCAAACCTCAGTAAGTAGGTAGAGGACAAAACAGGAGCTTTGATTTTAATCCAAGTGCAAGACAGTTTTACAGAGGGGAGCATTATGATCTGATTCATAACACTCACTACTAGGGGAGAATGAAATAGAGGAAACAAGAGTGGAAGTAGGAAGACAGAAGCTAATGCCAGCAATCAAGCCAAACGTGACTAAAAGTGAGATTAAAAGTGAAAGGACATGTGTCTGTGAATAGAGATGTAGTCAGAGATGAATTTTAGAAAACTCTTTGATGAACTGAATATGGGGAGATTTTATGTTGTGGCTTGAGCAGTTGAGCCCATGGCATTGTTTTATCACTGAGATGGGAAGATGCAGGAATAAAGAGCTTTATGAGGATGGGAACCAAAGGTTCCATTTTGGACATGTTGAGATGTCTGTGAAATATCTGAGTGAAGTTAACAAACCGGCAGCTGATTCGATTTTGGAATTCTGGGGTCAGACAGATCAGGATCATTTGGGATTTAACATTATGGAATTAGTATGTGAAGCGATAGTATACATAAAATGTACCAAGAAGGAACCTATGAACAGACCCTAAGGGGCAATTACAACACCTAGAAACTAACAGCAAAAGAGGTGCCAAAGGAAAAGTGGAATCAACCAGTATTTCTATTAAGAAGATTAGATGTTACTTTATTTCATCCATTATTTACATTAAATATTAACTTGTATCTATATGGAATACTATATGCAGTCACACACACAAAAAAAAAACCCACAAAAACAAACCACAACCCCATAGATAATAATAGTAACATTGTTACTTACTGAGCACTATGTACCAGGATCTCTTTAGCAATCCTATTAGGTCAGCACCTTTTTTTTTTGGGGGGCATTATTTCATTGAGATATAATTGACATGTAACATTGTATAAGTTTACATGTACAATGTATTGAGATTTGATACATTTACAGTCATGCATTGCTTAGTGGGGATGGCCTGAGAAATGTGTTGTTAGGCCATTTAGTCATTATGTAAAAGTCAGAGCATGATTACATAAAGCTAGACAGTATAACCTACTACAACCCCAGGCTATACCATATAACCTACTGGGATCACCATTACAGATGTAGCCTGCAGTTAAAAGAAATGCAGTTAAGCAAAACATTATTGTATATTGTAATTTTGTTACTACCATAGCATTTTAGCTAACACCTATTTTCGTTTACTTTCCACATTCAGTTCATCACATATGTATCGTTGTTTTTCTTTTTTTCCATTTTTTAAAAAAGATTTATTTATTTATTTATTTATACAAGCACTGGGTACAGTCAGAAGCATGGGAGGGGAGGGTGAGAGAATTCACCAGAGTCAGAGCGGGGAGCAGAGCAGGCAGAAGGACCGAAGTACACTGAGAACACTGAGAACAATTAAGATCTAGTCTCTTAGGTACTTTGAAGTTTATAATCCAGTCATTGACTATAATCACTACACTGTGCATTAGATCTCCAATACTTGTTTATCTAGTAGTTGAAAATTTATATCTTTAAACATCTCCCCAATTTTCTTACTCCTAAGGTCAGTACTCTTAATTTCATTTAATAAGAAAACTTCTAGAAGTGATAAATTTATTTTGATAACCTAAGTCAGGTAAATTGTAAAGTATATTTACTTAATTATGGTATATTTAGCTTAGATGCATACTGATATAGGCAACATGAAGAAGAAAGTTACACATCTGTACGTATAATAAACTATCATTTTTATTTTAAAAAAAGTACTAGAAAGGTTTCCTTTGTCATATTAAGCTGTATTTTTTTTTTTAATTTTTAAAAAAGATTTATTTATTTATTTATACAAGCAATGGGTTCAGTCAGAAGTGCAGGAGGGTGAGAGACTTCACTAGAGCCATAGCGGGGAACAGAACAGACAGACTGACGAAGTACACTGCTGAGGGGAGCAGCGGGAGGCAGGAGAGGTCTGTGTGCCATGTGGGACCCTCACCCGGTGGCCAGGGATTGAACCGGCGCTGCAGAGGCTGTGGGCGGCTTCGCAGCCCAGTGCTCAACCTCTGTGCCACCAGAGAGGCCCCTAAGCTGTATTTTTAAGCTTAACTAAACTTTGTTTTCTCAAGATAAGATACAAATGATTTTTAATGTGTTGAAATTTGCCAAGGAAGTGACTGAGTGTTGAAAATTACCAGGAAAGCTGAATTTCATTAAGGATACAACTCACCTGAGCACCAAGGATTATTTTCTGTTAATTTAGACTTTAGATTGTAGCACAAAATTTTAACATTGGTTTTCTCACCTGGTGAGTACATACACTAAAATAAGAGGAAAAAGTTAGAAAAATAAAAGATAGTAAGGTATGAGCATGTTTACATGGCCAGCAGAAAAGGAGTTAAAAGGAGGGCAAGAAAATGAAAATGTAAGAGTGAAGAGAATATCTGTGGAAGGCAGATTCCTAGCCTAGAAGACTGGGCAGGAGAGAATTAGCTTTGATCAGACAGGATCACATTTTTCTCCATAACTATATAAATTGGTAAGTCTGGAGTCACAGTAAGAAGCTCATACTTGACGTTGAAACATACTGGGACTAGTGTTGGGTAAGGGTCATGAGTGTGCTCAAGGTTTGGTTAATAGTGGGCAACATTTGTTATCTTTTCATCATATACTAATATTTACCCACATTTTTAGATTAATGTCAGCTACAACAAAAAGCTGGAATGACTGGGGAACACATTAAGTCTTTGTTACTACCTAGAGAACTGGTGATGGGGGCAGCTAACTGCTAACATTTTAGCAATTTACACAGCAAATGGTGAGTGAATTTCGGTTCTAAAAGGAAATTTTAACAGTGAACAGTGCTACTAACAAGCACTTCTGATAAATCACTCCAAAATTAGCAGTATTTTGTTTATACATTTTTACAAATGGAACATCTATCTATACCTAAGGCAATATAAAATCTATAAAAATATTGAAGAGTAAAAGACTGTTTTCTCTCATAAATCCTTTTACTACTTCTTACCTCATCTAATGGTTTATCTTCCAAAGCTGTCAAATCAAGCAGTGGATTTTTCACTCCTAAGGAAACCATTGTTTTTAACCCTAGAAAATCAACGGGAAATGAGTTAGTTGATTATGTTTTTTCCTCAGAAATAAAATAAATTCATGAACAGCACCAATGATTAGAGAGCCACAAAATAAAGACCAGAGTGAGTCAGAGATAGTTACCTTTTTCATCTATTTTGGCACATTCTGCAAAGAGGTCCTTTGACCCTGTATTCAGTCTGTCCCTATGAAAATAATGGGACTGAAAAAAACGTGTCCAGAATTCCTTTTCTGTCATGTTGTGGGGAACATTTTCTGCATATTTCATTTTTACTGTGAGGGGAAGAAAAGCAATAATAGTACATATACAGAATACCCATTTCTTAAAACCTCTCAAATTAGAAAATTGAAATATAGACTAAAAGCAAAAATCAGATTATGAACTTACTCAGCTTTATATACTATATGCATATAATAACCTAATTACAAATGAATGAAATATAACTTGAGAAATTAGGTGAGATACTACTACCTCTATCAATCTTAACAAATTAGAAATAAAACCTTGTTTTTCACTAAGAATTAATAAATTTCAGAGTTTTAGTAAAAACACCAAGAATTCTGGAGTCAGATCTGAGTTTGCTTATTTGTTTATATTATATATTGTTTATATTATATATATTGGTATTTAATCCACAGCACTGGGTGTTAGTGAAATAAAGACATCAATACTCACTGAAGTATCAACTCAGCACTCAAGAAGCTCATAGGCCAATGAGATAAGTTGTTAAGAAAAGTGGTCTTTTGAGACAGAGCGTCTGAGTTTAAAATTTTAATTTCTATATCTACCACTTACTGTATTTCCTTGGGCAAATTACTTTAGTCTCTGTGTATCTTGCTTTCCTCATCTGTAATATGGGGTATTGACAGTATTTAACTTCAATGGGCGTATGTGATGATGAAATGTTAATATACATAGAGGTCTTATAATACTAAATGAAACATTATAATATTATGTAGGTTTTAAGTATACAGCATATTTCCATATCTGTATATGCTACATCATGTTTCCCAATGTAATCTATAGATTAAATGCAATCCTTACCAAGGTTTCACCAGAATCCATTTTTTAATTTTATTTATATTATTTACATCATTTTTCATTTTTGTACAATGTATGCATTCATTAGTTTTTTATGCTATACATTTCTTTAGTTATTGATCTATTTATAATAACCAAGTATTCATTGGTGGACAAAAATGAGTTCTTTGAATCTGGAATCAATGCTCTACTATCCCCCCTACTTTTTTATTCTAGTTTCTGTAAGTTCAAATAAATGTGAGCCACACTTTTGTGCTACGCATTAAGGTCATGTTAACAGAAAGTAGTTGAAGTTTGACAAATAAATACACAAATAAATTCACCGAAAAGTAATGTTCATTTGTATTGTAATAGTATGAAACTTAAAGGTATTTTTTTATGTAATATTAAAACAAAAATATGAGTGTAAAAAAAAATACTATATGGCACACAGTAAACACTTCATAACGAAGTTATTGTATCAGAAAGATATGAAAACAATTACATCAAGATGTGATTAACTCTGAGGCAAACACAAGGCCTTACAGAAGGAAAGTGCTGGAGGTTGGTATCTGCCCCAAGAAGTCAGGATTTTACAGAGGTAGCAATGAGGTAATGCTTGATCTGAGTCCTATGGGAGAGGTATGTTTGCTAAGGATAAAGGGGACAAGAGAGAAGAAGTCGGCTTATGCACAAACTCAAGCATATGGCTTAAGTGAGTACTATTCAGTCAGAATGACTGAAGCAGAGGCCCTCGACACTGGCTGTACATCATAAATCTCTAGGGATGGTGTCAGACATTTATCCTTTCAGGATGGTTTCTCTGCAAGGTAAATGATTCGTGGGTTAGAAAGGTCACTCTGAAAGCAGCATAAAGGGTAATGTGAGTTTAGTGTTGCAGAGAGGCTCATTTATTGATGCCTCTCTGGTCTGTCATCTTGCTCAGATATGTTGAAGGGAAAATAAATTTAAGGGGAAAAATGAACCACCAATGAAAATAAACATAATATTTTAGTGACAACTTTATTTACTGAATTCTTAATATCTACTATATGTCAGGCACTAGGTAAGGTACTTTATGTATTTGATTGCACTTAATCAGGAATAAAGATAAAACCTTTTATTTTTTAATCAAGATATTACTGATAATTACTAAATAATCAAAACATTACATTTTAATTGGAAGAACCGGTTCTTCTTACCAGCTGGATAGGTCCTAAATATGGACTCAATGATATCCGAGGTTAAATTGTATCTCAGACCATTACATCCATCTGTTTGGGGCCGTACATCAGCCTAAAATAAAGACCATATTAAGGGATGACCATTATAATATTGAGGGAAGATACCTAAACTCCCAATAGACACTAGACAGGAGTGGAAAAACAGATATTCTGAATGAATTAGAGAGACAGAGATAAGTCCTCTCACCTCACTTTCTGGCACAAAGGACTCAAAGAAGCCTGGTTTCAAATAATCTCAGTGATCTATAAAACTGGTTTTCTCAAAAATCCATCATGGTAAAATAGGCATGCTTAATTGTGGCCAAATGCAGACAGCTAGTGGAGACTTAACATAAAACTTGCACACTTACAACAAAAACTATAAACCTATGTTACTAAATAATTTAACAAATATACTTGACCAATTTCTTTAGGAAAGGCCTTTTTAAATCAATTCACTACTAAGCACCAAGAAAGATGCCAAATAAAAATTGGTGCTCAAATTTTTGTTTAGTGTATAAATACTGCTTGGGTTCCACCAAAGCACATGCTAACTAAATCCTACTAATCCCACAGATAAGTTATTCCCAATTTATCTATAAGATACACTTTATAGATTTTATAATTTCAATAATGTAACAGTCAATATACATCTATCTTTTCATTATAAGTAAAATATAGCAATCATATAAAAGGGTATAAGTTCTAGATTTAAAACTATTAGGATAAGTATTAGCCCAACTTCTGAGATTCTCTTTTAAAAGTCCACTTGATATCCAGCATGCTTGTTAAGTCCTGCACCAAGTGCAAAGACCAAGAAAAGACAAATGGTAAAAAGAAATGAAAATTAAAACAAAAATACTATATGCATTTAAAAAATATTCTAGAAAAATATCATGGATAGCAAAGGTTCCATTAATGTGAAGAAGTGCTAGATTTTAAAAAAGAAATGTTAACATACATATCAGGGTTTTCACTTTTTTCCCTAAAGAAATCTAAAAGAGCCACATACCAGAAATGCTGCAGAAATGCCAACATCCTGTTTGTGATTGGATGTGGAAGAACTCTCTGTTGCATTCACATTTAAACGATTGGCCCAGAATTCCTCAGCACTTATCACTTGACTCACAACAAGGTCTTTATAGAGCTGAAACAAAACAGGATCTTCTTGCAGCATTCTGGTGATAGAACATATTGAATATATTGAACTTCCAGAATAAAAAGCCCTTTAGGTAACATTTTTGTCTTCACGACATGTAACACTGAAACACAACTTTCATTTTGTGATGACTGAGCAGCAGAGATCATTTAGTTCATCATTTAAAAGCCAAAAAAAAATTTTTTTTGAAGTAGAAACTAAAATAAACTAAAATAAACTCTTTGAGTATGAATTTGGTCTTACTCATCTCTATCCCAGAAATAGAAGGTCACTGGGTCTGTATTACACTGTATTCTCTCTTCACATTCTCTAAAAGTGAATGAGAAAGAGAGGAGGTATGTTTGAGATTTTCTACCAACTAATTTTTCATGGTGACATGCACTTGAAGCTATAAGCACAGATGGCTTGAAAGATAGTGGCGACAGCATAATTCATCTTATCAGAAATTCTCATTAACAAGATTTCTTATCTTTTTTACAGTATGTTTTCTTTCTATTTCCATTCACATACACACTTTTATGTTTTTATATATAAAAGTAACTCATTTAATTAGTTTTAAGGTGTCTTTATGACCTATCACTTTACAACTGCGTGAAATGACAAGTTTATATAAGAGTCCTCTGAAGAAGATATTTTACTTTCGGGTAATTTCCTTATCTTATTGGGGTTTGGAATCAGTTTCCTTATTTTAATGGGTTGTAACACCACAGCCTGCTAACCTTCAAGGCACTTTTTTTTAGTGCCACAAACATACTTTTTTTTTCCCCACAAACATGCTTTTAAATGGGCTAGTATGTTCTCTGTAACAGAGGACAGAAAAATAATTAAAGGAGAAAAAAATAATTAAAGCAGATCAGAACCTTTGAATCTCAGTTCTGTTCCTAATTAGATATTAGGCTTGAGGCAGTTAATTTAACAAGTTTACACATTCTCCTTTACTCAAAGCCAAACAGCTAGCAAGATGCTAAAGTTGGGCACCTAACAGCAAGATAGACAGCAAAGCTCCTATTTTTCCTATAAGTACACCACTGAAGCACAAAGGGTAAGTAATAAGCTGTTGTTCTAGTAAAAGACTGGGAAGAATCAAGTATCTCTTCAAAAGGCTATTCTTTTCCTCCTTTACCTGTTTTTCTCTTCCAGTTCTTTATTTGCTTTCCTCTTGAATTTAGGCAGCAGCTGCTGAAGAAGATCTTTCACTGCATCTCGCTCTTTCACTGCTGTGCTTTCATTGGAAAAATGGAAGTTAGTTGTGTCCCCTGCATGCAGGACCAGCTGAAGCTGAATTTTAGCTTTTCCTTCTGGACTGATTTTCTGGCCTAAAAAGAAGCATAAGGCTAATTAGATGAGGACACTTACACTGGGGAAGTTGCCATATAATAGACTACTACTCCTCCCAGCAGATTCAGGATTCCTTTGGGTCCTGTACCAATCTCCATGCTTTTATGGATATGCATTCTTCTCAAATAATCCTATGTAGGGCCTCCCCTGGTGGCGCAACAGTTGAGCACTGGGCTGCGAAGCAGCCCGCAGCCTCTGCAGCGCCGGTTCGATCCCCAACTGACAGAGAGGGTCCCACATGGTGCGCAGACCTCTCCTGCCGCCCGCTGCTCCCCTCAGCAGTGTACTTCGTCAGTCTGGCTGTTCTGTTCCCCACTCTGGCTCTTGTGAATTCTCTCACCCTCCCGTGCTTCTGACTGTACCCAGTGCTTGTATAAATCAATCAATCAATCAATCAATCTTTAAAAAAAAAAATAATCCTATGTAACCTGAGCATGTACAACAAAGTCAGTGCTAACATTGTTTCTTTCTTCAGTATCCTTTTTGTATGGCATCTCTCACCACTGCTTCTGCCTCCAAGTACTAGAAGGATTTTTGTTTCCATTCAAGAGGAGAAGATCTCTTTAAGGCTTTCAACTAGTCAACTAGGAGTTCTGAATCCACTCTGAACAGATGTCTCCCAATTAGTGAAAATGATTAGTCATGATTCAAAAAGACTCCAAAACTATCCACTTACCTATTAGTTGCAAAGGACAATAAACAATTTTACATTTGAGATATCTGGTATTACCATTTTAACAAAATATCAAATTTAGACTCATTAAGAGGAACAACCTGACACTATGGGCTTTCTTAGGTGATTGAGCAGGAAGCACACATTGCTACCTATGCATTACTTTTGCTAAAATGTTTACCTTAAGTATAATTAAATCTGTAAGTGTGACTTTCTGTTTTTAAGAAATACAGCATACAAGAGTAAAAATTTTGAGAAGACAATGAGACACAGTGAAAATGTATGTTATTTTTATAAGCCTATACTCTGAAAGAGACTACAACACAAACCTAGACTGGTGGCCTCCCTGGTGGTCTACAGGTTAAGTCTGAGCGCTATTATCTACAGGGCCTGAGTTGGATCCCTGGCCAGGAAGTTAACCCACATAGGGTGCAGACCTCTCCTGCCTCATCTCCTGCTCCCCTCACCAGTGTATTTCAGTAAATCTGCCTGTTCTGCTCCCCATTTTGCCACTGGTAAGAATCCTCTAACCCCCACCCTTCCCCACCCTGGGCACCTCTGGCCTACCACTCAGTTCTTCTACTCAAAAAAATCCCCCACCAAACCTAGACTGGATATTGGTTTAAAAAAAAAAAAAGATATAAAACACATTATTGGGAGAACTGGAAAAATGTAACAATGGTCTGGATCTTTATTATTAATATTTTCTTGGTGTGCTAATGTCATAGTTTATGTTTAAAAAAAGCAACTGTAGCAAAATAGTAACTGTAGATGAGATACAGTATGTAAACATTGTACCATTCTTTACATATTTCTGTAACTGGAGATTTTTATAATAAATTGGGGTTGGAAATATCAAAACACACCTAAAAGGGAGAATTTATATTGTCAAAGAGTGGCTCACGGAAATAGTAATGTTTTTATTTTTTAAAAGAGAAACAATAGGTGAAGGGCCTTTGTCTCATAAGTGGGTGACTTATGGTAAAGTAAACATGTTGCCTATGGCTCTCAGGCCAAACCAATCTACTAACCCTTTAAAAAGAAACTTTCTCAGTAAAGATGCTATTTCTAGACTGCAGTTCGAAATACCTTACTGTTCAAGGTAGCAATATGAAGCAATTTATACCATCGTCCAGCCTGTTTCATTACCCCATTCCGCAAAAAAACAAAACCAAAAAATCTTAACTCCTTTCCACTTTTTTTTTTCCAGTCACTGCTTCATCCTTGCTCTATCTTAAATCTTTCCTCTCAAGAGGCCTACTTCTGGAGTTTTTTTAACTAGTTAACTTAAAATGCTTAAGGTGCTCATTTTTATCTTATTAATTTACTGAAAAGTTTTAATGGCTTCTTCAAGAAATGGGCATTCTTTCAAACTTAAAATGAAAACTGATCTGCTGCAGACTTAGATTTGGGTATGTACTTTCCTCCCTGATAGCTGAGAAGAACTGTTCTAAGACAGGAGATAGGCATTTCTTTATTGCATATTGTGGGTATAACAAATAGTGTGTATTTTGCAAAGTTAGCTTCTCATTTAAGAGAAATGCAAATAAAAGCAGTTCCTAAGTTATGAGTGCACTGCAGTTAATTTGTAAGACTCAATCATACAATGTGAGGCTTATTTCCACAGAAACAAAGTCTTAAAAGGAGGTAACATTACCAGGATAGTGGACAAACAACCAGATAGCTTAAGCAGTACTAAGGAGTAATGCTAAGTTTTATTTATGCATACAAGAACTGGGGTACAGGCCAGAGATGGGGAGGGAGTGAGAGGATTCACCAGAGACAGAGAGGGAAGCAGAACAGGCAGACTGACTGAAATACACAGCTGAGGGGAGCAGTGGGCAAGTCAGGAGAGGTCTGCTGCGCCATGTGGGTAGGTCCCTGGCTGGGGAATGAACTCGTGCTGCAGTGGCTGTGGATAGCTTCACAGGTTGTGTCTTTATCCCTTGAGCCACCAGGGAGGCCCAATTATAAGTTTTAAATAGTATTTCCTTTTGATAATTAAGAGTTTGAGCTATTTTAGTTGAGAAAGGGGAGGGTCTTGGTCATTTCCAGCAACAAAGTAAAGCTAAGTCCTTAAAGCAGTTCTTCATACACAAAAGACATTTGTAAATTGAGACTCGTAAACTGAGGGTTTGTCTATTTTCCAAAATGTTATGTTCCTTTAAGTCTACACAGGATTTTATTTAGAAGGGTCTTATACCCAAGAAAATTAATCCATATTAATGGTCATAATTAAGATAAAATTTATCAAAGGATTTGTTACCCAGGCTCCCTGGGTCTCTCCTATTCAACATTTTTACTTAGGTGTTTTGGAGAAGTACTTTTTGGAGTAAAGGTTCTAAATATCAGGATTCACTTGCTAGTTTTAAGCACAAATACCATACTCTTTGGGTAGTTAAGTTCAAAGTTAATATTGAAAAATTGGAAAGACAAAGGGGTTTTGATTTTAGCCTTTGTATGTTAAAATTTAAAAAATAGGCATCTTAAAATACTTTTTCCAAATTTTATTTTATTGAGAAAATTTTTTTTCCATAAATATTACTTTGTAGATTGCTTCTCTCACTTAAGGACAGCTGTTTCTGCTGGACCACAGTGCACTGTGCTGACGCATGTCCAGTTAAAAATATTTATGTTCTGCAGGGGAGGGGGAGGCAGAGGGGTCAAAACAGGGAAGGGAAGAGTATAAGGGACTGGGGAGATGGACCACAGCTGCTATGGTGGTGGAAGAGCTAGGGGCACAACACCTGAAGGGAGAAATCAAATAATGTCCCCAAATTAACAATGATGTAATAAAATAATTTAAAGAAATTTATGATCTGTATTTCTCCCATTTGCATTCAATATATTGAGTATATATTGTCAACAGATAATGGCTACATAACTAAAGATTAATTAGACAACTTGCTTAAATGTTACAATTTTATTAAAGGACATTTAGGCATCATCTATCAGTATTTTAAATGCATGAACTGTTTGAACCAGTAACTCCACTACAGGGATGTATTCCACATGCAAAAAAATTATTGCACAGATCTATACTGCAATGTGGTTTGCAATAAGAAAATTCCAGAAACTTTCTAAATGCCCTTTAACAGAGGACTAGTTCAATACATGATTGTACATCCATTCATATTCAGTGGCATATTATGCAACTCTTAAAAGAAGGAAATATTGAGATCTTTTTATGAGATAGAATTACATATGTAAAGTTGTACACACTATTAAGCAGAAAAAGCAGATTACAGAATAATACATTCAATGATCGCATTTTATAATTATTTCTGTATGACTAATTTTTTTTAGATATAACAAACCCATAAAGACTGTATAAGCAATCTTCCTATAAAACTATTAATATATTTGACATACATCAGACTTTATAGTTGACTTACATTTAATATCTGCATACATATGGCTGATTGTAAATCTATCTTTGCCTTCAGGTGCCCAAGCAATTCTTTCTGCCATGAGGTACAGTGCTCCATCCTGCTTCTTTTGACGCACCTTCTTTACAATTAGCAAAACTTCTTCAGATGAAGTTGCCATAATGGCTAGATGATGCTAATAGAGATAAAAAGATTTCACATTCAGTCAAGGTTGGGATTTGCTGACTTCTAGAATTTCTTCCAAATCTACAACTTAAATGGTACGAATTTTTTTTTTTAAGATTTATTTTTATACAAGAACCGGGGTACAGGCTAGATGTGTGGGAGGGCGAGAGGATTCACCAGAGACAGAGCAGGGAACAGAACAGGCAGACCAACTGAAATACACTGCTGAGGGGAGCAGCAGGCAAGACAGAAGAGGTCTGCCCCGCCATGTGGGTATCTTCGCGGCTGGTGAGGATCGAACTGCCAATGCAGAGGCTGCGGACAGCTTCATAGCACTATGCTCAACTGCCTGCGCCACCAGGGAGGCCCAGCTGTAAAAAATTTGTAAGAAAGGAAAAGTCTCTGCCCTCATTCAAAACTGAAGATAAAATTGTACAGCATTATTTCTTTGAAATCAAATTTAATTTTGTTCTTAGTGTGAATTTACATAGTACTCCCAGTTTATAATAATTGTCAGTTTTTAAACCATTTCTGCTTATGCTAATTAGAATATTTCCCATTTATTTTTATTTTCCTGCTATATTCTCAAACCTTAAAATGCATGATTTGCCTACATATAAGTTTCAAATTTGTTTCAAGTGAAATTTAAAGTCACAGAGTTTGTGTGTGTCCCAGCACCACTCACAGACCTAAAAACATACCATTTTCTTGGTCTAAGATTCCTCCTGTGTATCTGGAATAATTCTTAACACTGCAGATATTATTTCCCCTATCTCTAACAAGTCACTGTCTTCAATTGCTCTGCATTGTCCTGGCTAAAGATTCACTTGCATATGGTTAATTGTTATGTAGTGACAGCACAGACTTCTCACTTCTCCCCAATACTGGGAATGTTAAATATTCAACTCAAATCCTAGAGGCTTGAGTGTGGCTTTCTGGAATATGAGGCTGCAGAGGACTCTGAAGTTGTCTGGGCTCAACAGCAGATGCCATGATTGATGTCTATCTTAGGCTGGAATGGGGAAGTAGAAACACAAATGTCACATATATGCCATTGCTGGTAAGGGTATGATTTAGTTTTTATTTCCAAAGGAATGATTTAAAATCTAATTTTAAAACATTTTACTTCTTCAGGTTATAAAGCATAAGTTTAATGAAGTTAGCAAATCTAGGTGTCCTTAGAATTAAATTTTCCTGAACAAACACATGGAGCTTTCTGAAACATTTTTTCCTGGAAGTGAAAACAAATAGGTACACTACTCGATGTGTCATAAGGTATTAAAAGTAACTGAGACCTACGATTCTCCTTTTAGAGACATATGGCACTCCATTAGTAAGAGTGCCAGGCATTAAAAATAATGGAAATCCCATTCCATTACCCCACAGCCCTAACATCAATTTTCTTAACTTTGAATTGTGCTTATTTGTACCCATGTTCCAAACATAATCATGAAACATATCCAATCATCTTGTTTTTTACTTGTCATTGAAAATATTTCCCCCTGCTTTTATAATAGCTATAATTTTAATATCTATACACTATATTTGATGAGTTAAAATTCTTAACATACCAACTTTTAACCAATTTGTTTATTTCATGTCCTCCTAAGTAAGATTACAAGGTCATTGCCATTTAAAAATTTAAAAACCACTGTTTTAAGTCCACTTAATGATACGACAAAATAAACTGTTAAGTGATAAAAGTAAAAAAAGCAAATACTTTGATTCTATATTCTAAATTAAAAAAAAATCTATCTAGAAATTATTTCTTTATAATATGTACCAGACATTAGCTATGTTCTTTATTGGCACTATCTCATTCAATCCCCAGTTAACAATCCTGAGGCAGGTGCTATTAATAGTTCCATCCTGCAGATGAAAGAAACAGACTTTGAGAAATTGAAAGATGGAGTAGGAAGCAGGGCAAGAGGTTAATTATAGAAAAACTTGAAGTGCGTTCAAAGGTAGAGGAAGCGCAGTGGCAAGGACAGGTGACAGCAGAAGTCCCCAGTTAACTGGGCTGACAGGCAACAAATGGGAAGTGTTAGCTTTGCCAAAAAACATAGTAACATTTTTGATTTGGAAAGGTAAGGAAGGAAAGATGAGCTAAGGTAAACGATAAAGTAGAAAATAAATCAGACTGACAGTCTATTAGAGTCAACTTCTTTAAACCAATTGGGAAGTACATAAATCTCATATAACATGCAAAACCCATTCATATTAAAACTACATTTAGGGGAACTTTAAAATGTAAATTGGAGATAAGTTTATTGCATATTGGGTAGGACGGTAAACTGTCTTGTGCTAATTTGCTTGGCAAATTTCCCAGATGATCTGTAGCATCCCCTGTTAAACTGTACATGGACCAGTTTTAGGAAGTTCAATAGAAGCGGTGGGGATATCTTTCAATGAATTTGTGAGTTCTACATTTTTCTTGAAGGAGACTTTGTGGGTGGCAAACACTTCTCAGTAGAACTCTTTATAAAATTTACAGTTTCATTTACAAAAATATAGGTGCAATTACATTTAAACAAAGTGGCTAGGTAAAAATCCAGCTTTCCTTATTTGATTTATGAAATAATGTGCCACAAAGCTTCTTTAAATAGCAAGATAATCCAGTAAAGGTACTATTCATTTGCAGTTAAAAGTTGCAGCTAAAAAAAAAAAAACCAACTTCATTAAATTAAAAAAAAATGTCAGTTAAAAAAACTGCAGTTAGGGCCTCCCCGGTGGCGCAGCAGTTGAGCGCTGGGTTGCGAAGCTGCCCGCAGCCTCTGCAGCGCCGGTTCGATCCCCGGCTGCTCCCCGGCCACCGGAGGAGGGTCCCACATGGCGCGCAGACCTCTCCTGCCGCCCGCTGCTCCCCTCAGCAGTGTACTTCGTCCTTCTGCCTGCTCTGCTCCCCCTCTGGCTCTGGTGAATTCTCTCACCCTCCCGTGCTTCTGACTGTACCCAGTGCTTGTATAAATAAATAAATAAATCTTAAAAAAAAAAAAAAACTGCAGTTAAATGTACATATCTTACTCTGACCTGCCTCGCCCCTCCCTTGCCATCAGTTCATTTTTATTTTTTCACCATCACTGATATTTTTGGTCTCCTCTAATTTTCAGGGTTACTAGGCAAGGTCCCCTATTCTCTCCACAGCACTAATCACAACTAATTTATTTTTATAAGTTCTGTCTTAATGTCTGTTTCCCCTGGCAGACTTTAAGCTTCATAAAGAGGGCAGAGGCTCCATGTGAGTTCACTGAAATACAGTATCCAGCAGCACAGTTTGGTCTACATATCGAGAGTGCAGGAAGTATCTGTGAATCTAAGACCTCTGTTGTTAAATATAATTTCACTAAAATACAAGAAACCCTTGTACATACATTCTTAGCTAAACTCTAGGAAGCACCACAGCTCTCAATTCACAGATCAGAATACCAATTCCTCATAAAGATTCTAACTTCTGGCTATAAGGAAAGAGTGATAAAAGGAATTTGAAACTGTTGTATAGAAATATTTAAATTACTGCAGCTTAGTTTTTCCATTACCTACATCCTCCCTTCCAATGTGCAGAAATAAATTGAGGGGGAAAAGGCAGAATGTGGAAAGTAAAGGATTGAGAGAGAGAGAGAGAGAGAGAGAGAGAGAGAGAGAAAGAGGTCATATCTGCCAGCTCACAAAATGGAGATATGGAATGTTGCTTGCCACCAGGCAATCCAAAAACATTTTAACAATTCAGCATTACAGAGAATAAGACCTTGGAAGCAGGCAAAGAGTGACCAAAACGTACTGTTACAGGGTACTTACAATGACAAGATTTTAAAGGGAATAACTGATGTGGCAATTTTAAACTGAACATTTTCTCACTGTATAGCGGTGCAGGGAGAGGTAGAGAAGGAAAATTCAAAAGAAAGGGACAAGATAAAAAGAAATATGTGCTCCTACTCAGTAATACTGCATGATGACAAGAGTATATCAACAAAATCGAGGAAAGAGCAGTAAGCTGGGAAAGTGGGAAAAAGAACTATTAGATGCCTGACACTGCCACACTGAAGGAAGGAGAGAGGCAAAGGAAGAAAACAAAGATACCTTTATCATTAATATTCATGAGTTAGAAACAGTGGTCAAAAGCATAGGGAAGCGAAGGTACAGTAGACAAGGTTCTCATGGTTGGGGAAAAACATACAGAGCACACAGAACAGAAGGCCACAAGGTGGAAAGACAGACCTGCAGGGGAAGAGGTTAAGTCCTGAGGGCAGAACATACAGAAAGATTTACAACTGAGTGGAGCTGATCATTTGGTTTATTACTATTAGCTGATTCCTCTTTTCCCCAATCTTCCTAAAACTTTTCAAGAATCCTCTGCATTTGTGTGGATTACTTTTTTACACTTGCACAGCCATATGTATTTACTATTACTAGGAGAAACAAAAAAATTGGCTTAGTGTATTGTTAAATGTTGGCTGAGGGGCGCAGATCAGGTTGAAGGACTCAAATTACTCCTCTTTTCTTAAAGAGGGTCTTAGTGTTGCTAAATGGTACAAAGTTCTCTCCAGAGCCCAATTCTTCTGTTAACTGAGTAGGCCTCATACCAGAGGTTATCATCCCTGCTGTTATGACCTTTCCAACTCAACTCTTGTAGTTTTGACTTCCACAAATCTTATCTCCTGGTGGGCAACCTGACATATCAAAGACCAGTAGAGAGATTTTCAAACTATGTTCCAAGAGGGGACACTAAGTGGGTGAGGCTTGGCTCTCCCAAATTCAATTCCACCAGAGAATGCTGTTTTATATTGGGGTGCCCTTTAAGAATTCATGGGAAGAAATAGTTAAAAGGCTTTTTTTTGCAGTCAATACTTAACTTCAAGATACATTTCAAACCACTTGTTATAGGGCAGCCCCGATATTGAGCGGGTTGCCTGGCTGTGGGTCCTCACCTGCGTGCTTAAAAAGGACTTATTAATACTCCACTGCAGGCATACACAAAAGGTTAATAAAAGGTTTATTTACAAGGGAAAAGAAAATAAGGAAAATGTACAACTCAGGGAGAAAATAAAGTCTTTAATGCATCCTACCCGATCGCCGACCTGGAAACCCAAAGGCACTTTCAGAGCTGGCCGAACGCTGCTAGCTGGTGGAGAGCCAAAATGGGGGACCCCTCCAAAGCCCACGTGTCTGCCTTATATCAACCTGGCTGCTTAACCCCACCCTCAGGTCCCAGCCACCTTCCCTTTGGTGGTGATGGGATTTGGAGTTCCCAGTGTCTTTGGCTTTGGCCTGGGGTGGGGGTGGGGTCCACAAAGCCTGTACGGAATTAGCTTTAGGACATCCTTTTCCCCCTAATACGGAGGATGGCAGAACCCATTTAAAATAGACAGGTTTGCGGGGTTTGGGCTGCCCCTCTCCCGGTCCTATAACACACTTAGTTTTTAAAATAGGGTCTTTTCTAATGAGCAAAAAAATATATTTTTAAATCTCTCTCCCTTCCCCCATTTTATAGGCCATAAAATAGATATTTAAGAGTTAATCGGATACATCTCCTTGGTCCATTTAACCTCTGAGGACATCGAGGGATTTATGCGTACTATGTCTTGCATGTATCTTGCAATGAATTATTTCCCGTCATCGTCAGACAATCGAACCTGGGTACAGACCAAATTTGGGGTGTGAAGTGGCACATGTGTCAGAAAGTTTTAAGAGCGGCAAGAATGACAGATGAGGCAAAATGTGAGCGGACACGAAGGGGAAAGCGTCTCTCTTCCAGAAATCGAAAGGCTGAACGGCACATTTCCTAACGGGAAAAGGCTTTTCTGCCCGGGAGAGGCCTCCACTTCCTTCATCCTCATGAATCAAGTCTGATCATGGCTTTGGGTAAATCTTCTGAGCCCGTGCTCTCAGAGAACGGATAGGTTTCCTATAGGTTAAGTAGATTAGGGGGTTTCCTTTTCCCCTGCTTCAGAATAATAAAGGGGTACCAAGACGGCAGGCTTGGAAGTCGTGGCGACCGCGACAGGGGGGCAGGGAAAAGAGGCAGAAGCCGCGCGGTCCTGCGGCCCCCGGGCCTGTCAGCGCTTCACTCACCCACCCAGCCACCCACCCCCATTCTTCGATCTAAACTTACCAGGTGGGAGCGACGCCCCTAGGCAGAGAGCGCGTAACTGGGCTGGGTCGGGCGGAGTCTCACTGCGTTTCTCAGAGACGCTGCCGGGAAGAGGCTGAAACCCTGCAGCCGCCGCCGTCGCCACCGCCTCTGTTACTGGGGGGTCTCGCCTCCATCGCTGGCTGCGAGAACTCTGCGGGCACGTGACCGGAAGTGCCAAGGCGGGCCTGCGGGCCACGTGACCCAGAGCGCGGCCGCCATGACACCTTCCGCTGGCTTCCTCCCTCCCCTGCCAGTTCCCGCCTGTTTCATTTCCTCTCGCTCGTCTCAAGCAGTGGAAGGGTACCGGAATCCTGGCTGGCGCACCCCCTTTGGCCTAGAGCTCCTCCGGTCCGGGTCGGCGCCGAGTCTTCGGCCGTCGGTCGCCCGCTGACTGCAGGCCACAGGGAGCGTAATTGCGACCGCGGCCTGAGGGGGAGGGACCACGCGCAAGCAGGGGCGTGACCTGTCACGTGACTAGGAAGTACCGTTCCCAGCGTGTCCCCGCGTCCCCCGGCGCTTCGAATGACGTACGCCGGGGAGGAGGAGCGGTAGCGAAGGGTGAAGTCGAGGTGCCGTTCTCAGAGCGGGGTGAGTGTCCCGACCCGAAGCCGGGGAAGGGCTGAGTCACCGCGGCTGCGGGTGGTGGAGCTGGCGGAGCGGGACTGAGCCCTCGGGGCGGCTGGTGTGGGAGCCTGATTTTGAGAACTTGCTTTCCGAGGCTCCTCTCCTGCAGAGGTCTGAATGCAGTATTAAAGCCAACGCTGCGAAAAAAGTAGCAGGTGCTCTAGTCGAGGACCTTCTCGTGGGCCGGGACTGTCTCCGGTGGAGCGTGCAGCCGCGCGGGGCACAGCACACCCACTGAATGCATGAATGAGCTTGTCGCCCATTCGTTGTCTGATGTGGAAGAGTTGTATTTTCGTGGATAGAAAGATTCCATTATGAAGAGGGGAATTTCCAACTTCCCTGCTTGTAATATCATTACTTTTTGCTTCCTCCTCTGTTTTGCTAATTTGCACACCCAGCTGGGGGAAGGAGACCGCTGTGGTTTGTATTTGGTGTGTGAACAGCAAACACTCATTTGGTAAATAAAATGAGTACTGGAACGATGAGAAAAACCTTTTCTTGATCCTAGTACTCTTTTTTTTTTTTTTCTCCATCAGCGCGGGAGAATATCTGGATTAGGTTTGAACTCAGGTAAATTCTAGACACAGGTCCATCTCCTAGGCTCTCTGTGACCCTGGGCAAGGCGACCCCTCAGTAACTTGTTTCCTTGACTTTGGTAAACTTTTATGGCCACCTTGCATTGGTTAAGTATTTGGTGGGCTGATATTGTCACTGACTTAAGTAATGCTTAAACTCAACTTACAGAAAGCTGACTTTTGTTACATGGGGGAAGATTAAACAAACAGGTATATTAAGCCATGGAGGCAGAGAAAGTTTAAAGACTCAAAGGAACAAAAGATAGCACGGAATAGTTGAAAAATAGAAGATAATGTAAGGTGGGAGATGGGGTTGGAAAAAGCAGTGGGGATGAGATCATAAATTATATAAGAAGAACTATTGAAGGTTTGTAGACAGTTTTTTTTTCTTTGTACTTTAGAAAATTTTATGGAAAATTTCAGACATAGACAGTAGTAGACAGGATAAGATAATGAATCCTTATGTTCACATAACCCAACATTAACAATTATCAATATTCTCCTGTTTTTGTTTGTACAAAGTTTTAAAATTTCTAGGCACTCTTTATATCAATTGTCACATTTGATTAATAGCAGTGTTCAGTTTGAGCTCAATTCTACTGTAGTTGACGGATGGGAAGATTTTATTGATTTTATGTGAAAATTTCTTTGGATTTTAGTTGACCTCTTGCTGTTGAATCAAAAGTGTAACATGACTACTTAAAAAACATACCTGGTGTTACACTAGGTTGTAAGATAAAACATTGTGTCCAGATAAAGAAATTAGTGTTTCTAGTCTATGTTAATCCAACCACTTAAGGAGTATTATGTTAAGGTCTAGACACCACATTTTCAGACAAACTAAAGTGATTTTGAAGAAAGTTGACCAGAACAGAGGGATTTGGAAATGGTCAGAATGATTGAAAAATTGGGTATGTTAGATTTTTATCAAACCTGATAACACTTTTAAATATTGAAAGTTTTTTTCCCCCCTGAAAGGTTGCTTTGGAAGGAGTAAACTTATCCCCTTGCCATTCGGAAGAAGTCAGCTGTAGAAGACACAATTTAAAATGATAAAGTTCTAAATGATAAGATTTCAGCCCAATATCAAAAAAGTACCTTGTAACAGAACTGTGGAGGAGTGGATTGGACAGTTTCATGAGAGGTAGTGCTTCCTTCCCTTGACTGAAAATGTTCAGGGATCTATGGCAAAACTAATTACTGAATTAAGTAGATTTATGCACTGAATTAATTATGAAGTATTCTTCCACCTTGAAAATTCTGGGAAGTAGTACTTCTGCTGGACCTTAAATAAGTAGATTTGGAGAGTAAGGTGTCGTTTCAGGGAGGAGTAAGCACAAAGATAGCCATTTTTGCTAAGAAAGGTAAATTTAAAGTTGTTTTTTTGACACCATCTCCCAGTCCTTACAGCCATGTTCTTGCAGAATTTAAGTCTCTGAATCCATTACTTTCTCCCAGCAACTTCTCTTAACTGACATATGTTTATCTTGTGTCAGTTTCTAAAGTCTTTATTGGTTATTTGGCATTTGCTACCTTGTATCTTGTTAATTTCTATCAGGTATCTTTTGTTGAAGCTCTTGTTCTTCTTTGTGCTGTAATTCCCTGCACCTTACTTCTTACTTAGTAGTGGGTGCATTCATTCATTCAGCAGATACTTATGGAGCCTCTTGTAGGCAGGGCAGAGATCCAATGACCTATTCCTATTAAGCACTATTGAATAGTTAACTGATGACTATAAGGGTGTACATTTAAAGATTGCCCTCTAATATGATTCTTTTAAAAACAGAAGATTTACAATTCAAAGAAATGCAGCAGTTAGTATTTTACCGTAGAAGAAGTTGGCCAGCTTTCCTTTGAAATCCTATGGTGTACATTGTACTTACCTCATATTGTTATATAGAGTAGGATAGGATGGAGGGCCTAGAGAATCTGGCTTGATTCTCTGGGAATTTTAGAGTTAGGAAATGTTAGCAGTACTAGTTGACTGTTTCATACAATGATACCTATGTGTATTTAATTCCATCTAGATGCTAATCATATCCAGAGTAAAGATTCTTGTCCCACTACCATGATACTCTCTGTTGTTCATATATTCATTAGTGGAATGCTGCATAATGGCAAGTGTCTTACATTGTTTCGCAGGTTTTAGTAAGGAATCCTGTGCCTATTACTCAACGTAGTTTCAACTTTCTGGCTAAATGACTTTTGTGCCAGTGATACCGGAGTCCTACAGCCATGTTCTTGCAGAATTTGAGTCTCTGGATCCATTACTTTCAGCCCTGAGACTGGACTCCAGTCGTCTAAAGGTGAATTTCTTTTTCTTTTTTTTTTTTTAAAGATTTATTTATTTATTTATAAGCACTGGATACAGTCAGAAGCGTGGGAGGGTGAGAGAATTCACCAGAGCCAGAGCGGGGAGCAGAGCAGGCAGAAGGACCAAAGTACACTGCTGAGGGGAGCAGTGGGCGCCAGGAGAGGTCTACGCGCCATGTGGGACCCTCCTCTGGTGGCCAGGGAGCAGCCGGGGATCGAACCAATGCTGCAGAGGCTGCTGGCAGCTTCGCTACCCAGCGTTCAACCGCTGCGCCACCGGGGAGGCCCCTGAAGGTGAATTTCTTAATCCTTGTATCAGTTTTATTTCTGTATTCGTATTTTTGTGTGCTCTTTGTTTCATGTGCCCCTGCCCCCCAGTTCCTTGTGTTTTATAGAACCTTGGGTGTTCTTACCTGTGCTTACATACCTTACATACCTTACATAGAGGTAAGGCCCATAGCTCTTTCTTGACCTATTTCTGAACTGTTACTTGAATTCTTCTGTCCCATATTTGGAATCCATGATATTGATTGCTAAATATTTTTTCTCATTTGTTTTTCTGTCTTCTCTCAGAAAGTAATGTATTTGAAGTTAAAATGTATAAATGAGTATACTACTTCACATTTTGAGCAACATGAACCATTGCACTTATACTACGCTCATTGTAAAAAACATAAGTTTGACGTATCTTCTGTTTTAAGGAACTGAACAAAAGATGTTAGCTCTGAAGGAGAGAGGATGTGCTTTCTTCAAATCCTGAGTTCTTTTGATTATACCTAAGAATGACATGGGTAGAAACAAAAATCTCATAACCAATTCCAAAATTGTTCTTGAGACTTCTTGCTCCTATCCCAAAATACCTTTCTTGCCTCTGAGCAAAGGGAGAATAGGAAGTAACAGGAAAAGTAATATGACAGCAATTTTGAGGGTCAATATCAGTCAGATGTTTTTTCAGACGCAAGTTACGGAATATCTTACTAATAAGTGCGTAAGCAAGAAAGGTATTTATAACCTTGTTATAGGTTAGTGTTTCTGGGTTTTGTATAGTCACCTAATGATATTCCTGAACACTCAGGCTCTTCATGTTTCCTATTCTACCATCATTCCTATATTGGCTTTTGGTCAAGGTTGTAAATACAGTAAATGTCTTGGTTTCTGTCTTCATGTCCCCATTAGCATCTCAAACAAAAGAGAGGGCTAAGGACAAATACTTTCTTATCTTTAGACTCACCTTTTTATCTAGGATGGTAAAGCTTTCAAGTCACTCCAGCAGGCTTTGTATTGCTGCAGTTGAGTCACTTGGCTCCCCCTAGATGCAAGACAAACTTGATAAGTGAAAGCTTATGGTTTCCATCTCCTATAGTGGAGAACAACAAGATTGAAGAAGGTTGGGAATGTTTGTCAGCCATCCAGTAATCTTTGCCAGGACATTGGGAACAGTATGAGCAAAGCATGGCCACTGCTTTTTTGTGGTGAAGGAGAAGAACCAGTAGGCTGAGCGTGTGGGGAGACATAAGAGTACCTTCATCTTTGTCCTCTGCAGTCTCCCTTGCTCTGAGAGCTGTGGGTGTTTTGTGCTAATCATACAAACTGGAAATGATTTAAGTGAGCAAATGATTCAAGTGGTTGCTTTATCCCCTAGAGACTTATTTGATCTTCCAGGATTGGAATGACATAGGCAACATACACAAAAGATGAATGGCTTATAACTGGCTTTCATCAAGGGAAAATTGCTCATTCATACAATTCTGCTATTCAACCATTTTGAGGTTCAATTAAAAATTTAAAACCAAAATGTTCTTTCTTCTGTATTTTCCATTATATGAGAATGAGAAAATGAGTGTCATTATGTGGTGTCCATCTGGGCAGAGAGTGGAGTTGTGGGAGGAACCTGGTTCACAGATCTCAGTATTTCCAGTGAATAGTT